TTTATCCCTGGAACCTGTCCATGTGACCTTGTTTGGAAATAGAGACTTTGCATATATGATTGAGTGAAGGGTCTTGAGATGAGGAGATCGTCCTAGATGACCCAGGTGGGTCCTCATAAGAGGGAGATTTGAAACACATAGATGAGACAGTGATCTGAAGACACAGCAGAGAGATGTGATGTGAAGATTGGAGTGATGCAGCCACGAGCCAAGGAATGCCAGCAGCCCTGAGAATCTGGGAGAGAGAGCGGAGCCGAGAGTCTCCAGAGCAGTGTTGTGCAAGCGCATGGATTCCAGGCCAGATACTGGTTTCAGACGTCTCCCCTCCAGAGCTGAGTGTGAAAGAATCCCTTTCTATTGTTGTAAGCCACCAAGTCCATGGGAATGTGTTATAGCAGCCACAGGAAAGGAATCTCCCCGAAGCACTATACACTCCCGTGTCCTCTGGGTGCAGATTATAAAGGACAGTGGTGTCACTGGTTTCTTTCCAGATACGTTCGCAACGCGGCGTATGGTGAGGCGGTGAGACCTCAGGATAGGAAGGCTCCGTAAGTGTTGCTGTCTCCAAAGCATTTGATCCATAGATTCGTGAGGTAAGAACGGAAGGGGCAGCATCGCTCGGATTCTCTGCAGCTGCTCTCTTCCAGTCTCTGAGTGGAGAAGACTCAGAAGGAACCCAGAACTAGATGTTGAACACCCAATCCTGCGGTTCACCAAACATCAAGAGGAGACAGAGGCATCAGCAGTTTTACCCAATATCTAACGGTGGATTTGACCATGTAACTGGGAACTTATCGGTCAAGGGTGCTGCCGGTTATGCTTTGCCCTGCTAACCTCAAGGTCCCCGTGAGAGATGGATGAAGCCCCTCGGCTCCTGTGAAGATCCACCCCCCTGGAGACCCGATCTCGGCGGCCCAGAGTCCAAATGGACTGACCGTGCTCTTTCTGGACAAGGACAATCAGGCTTTCCTACAGGCTTCGTTTACGGGCAGTGCTATTTGAGTTCCGATGCAGCTCTCCTGCCCAAATTAAAAGAGCCGTGTTTGTGTTTGCATTTGTGGACTGACGGTATTCAAATTATTCAAGGAACATTCGCGAAATTGTAACTAACACAGGACATTGGAAACTGTCTTCATTCCTTTGGGAATCTTGCAGGGTGAGGGAGGGGAAAGTTGAGGGGAACACGGGGGCGGGGGTGGGGGCATTTGTGATTCCAGAAAGCAGATATGCAAATTGCTTATAAATTTGGTTTGCCAAATAAATAGGCTTCCTTGTTGGGAGCCGTGGCCCTGTTTACCAGCTGGCGACAGGGACCTTGTGACTCACAGGTTCTGTTCAGACTGCTATGGCATCTGCAGCTCAAACTCACCATTTATTTTAATATTATAAACCAGGTGCACGTGCATATATCGTCTAGTGATAGCCTGGTTCTAGTTCCTGAGTGGAGTGTTGTTATCTCGCAGTGCCCATAGGAGGCTAGTGTGGGAGGGTGGGTGTGAACAGCTCCATTTGGAGTGAGCCATAAATACGGGCGCAGCGGCTAAAGGAAGGCACACTGGAGTTTACCCCAAGTCACTTGGCAGGATGGGTTTAGTGTCTGGGATTTGTGGCACACTTCCAACGTCTCAAGTCATGTTGCATTCCTGTTTTTCTTTGCGGGACCTCAGAAAATGCCCAGGCTCCCCTATTCCCACATTTTCTCCATAGGGCCCAGCCTCCTACTGAGCCACCAGGTCAGACGGGTGCCCTCCGGGGATGTGTGTGCATGGACCCTTGGCATGTGGGCACCCTTCCTCTTGCATGTGTATGATGTGTGCCTTCTCTGAGGAGGGAGGAGGACATATAGGAAAGCTTAGTCACTTAGAAGGAGGACTGAATTCTGATTATTTCATGCTGACCCTTGCAGAGCTGGCCCAAACTGTCAGTCTCGACCAGAATCCAGGACGAATGTCAGAATGTCAGCAGGAGGCCTCCTAAGTGTACTGAGTGGGTCTGTGGGGAATGGGGGTGGGAGTGGGGCTTTCAAACTCTTGTGTGTGGTCAATCGAGGGTGTTTCCATCAGCCGACTGTATAGTCACTTGTGCTTGTCAGAAAGTACTAAGAGAAACTTGGTACCTGATGCTCCTTGGGTGGTGGTGAGGGGTGAGGAGGTGTCAGGAAAGAGGAGCCTCCAGAAGAGTGCTGGAGAGCTGGATTGTCGGACGGGAGCAGGCCGAGTTCAGCCCCAGCCCAGGGGGGATTCTCCCCAGACAGCCCTGCCCAGTGTCTCCACCTGCACTGGTTCACTTCCAGCCACGAGGCCCTCCAGCCAGGACAATTCCCAGCTTTCCTGACAGCTTTCTTGAAATATCACCCGCTTTCCATACAGTCACCCCTTTCAAGTGGCCATTGTTCCATGTTGCAAATGTTTGGCACCAGCATTCTAGGGACTTCGAGGATATTCCCAACACCTACCAAAGAAGCCCCAGACTCTTCAACTATTCCCACCCCAAACCTCCCAGGCTCCAGTAGCCATGGAGCCTACCCGTGGGTTCCTTTCAAACGATGGTTTTTAATTTATGGAGAAGTAAGCTAGGTTATGTCATAGCCCGGGGGAGGGGGGCTATCCGGGTTTAGTCTGATCGAGTAAAATATACAGACCATGAGTATGCACGCCGCTTCTTGAGTTTTGCCAAATGGTTTTTCTGTATACCCCACAGCCCCTTCACGATTTTCGTCACCTCGAATATTCTTTCTGGACTCTTTGCAGTCAGCTTCCTGCCCGTGCCCGAGGAACGCCATGGTGGCTTGGTGTTTGTGATAAACGTCTTGCCTCTGGGAGGGAAACTGGAGGACACAGAATAGAGTCTTGGCAAGGGGCTGGGACTAGGCCATTCTCAGGAGAGTGGGCACAGCCTCCGATCCAGAGCCTAGGCGCCTCCCTCACCCGCCAAGTGCTGCTCAGGCCTGTCACTGGGGTGCCCAGATGGATTTGCACCACGTATGGAAAACTAGGATAAACCACACCATAGCGGCTCCACCAAACCCAGCCTTTCGTGTACTTCACCGTTTGCTGGATACACATACTTCTGAGCCAGGTAGACTCCCCTCCTTTACAGAAACCATCCTGCCCTAAAACAGGTAGAAATTCTTAGTACCTCTGTGACATCACTCCCTCCCCCGGCGCCATCCTGCCTTGTGTCCAGGCGGTGCACTGAGTGCAGATCCTCCTGGTGGAAAATAACACACACTCTCACATTGCACCCTCCCCCGCTGTCGGCGCTGGATTTCCAAACACCCGAGTTTCCATTCAGGCTAGTGAGTGAGTGGATATTCTAATTCTTCACGGATCCTTGTCATGAGAGGGTGCTTTGATAGGACTCTTCATGGATCCCTCTTCTTAGAGAATACTATCACTCTGGCAGGGAGCCCAGTGGCACAATGGTTACCCACTTGACTTCAAATCATAAGGTGGGTGCTTTTCGCCCACTCAGCAGCTCCAAGGGAGAGAGTCGTGGTGCTCGGCCCCTGTGGAGATGGCCCTGGAAAACCCCAGGGGGCAGTCCTGCTCTGTCCCATAGGGCTGCTGGGGCTTGGAAGCCGACTTGATGATGCAGCACTGCAGTAGGATAATGGTGATGCTTGTTTTGCAAAGTTTAGGGTGATTCATATAGAGTAAAACAGACTTCGCTCAGCAATTAAGCTGAATGTAATCAAATCGTTCCTCGAGAGCTCCAAAGACTAGTCACCCTCTTGCACCGCGCAAAGCACCAGTTACCTCCTGGTTAATGCATGCAGCATTGCCAGGGTGCCAACTAATAGGGAGTAGCGGCTAACAGAAGGTTCCATGCGTCTTCCCCTCGTTCCATGTTCTGTATTCAAAATCCCTACTATTCTCGGTAGGAAAACGACACGAGGTACTACCTTGGGAAGTGAAGCCTTATCCAAAAATAGAGTTGTTTATCTAAGTTTGCAATATCCAAAGTCCACTCTTCCAAGTAGGGGTTAAGAGCGAAGGCGCTGGAATCGGCCAGAGCTCAGGTACCTGCGCACGGCGTGACCCAGACACTGTGAAATGGGAGTGTTGTGGGGACTAACTGAGCACACACGTGCAGGGCTTCACCTTCTGGAGCCAGAAGCGTGCCATAAATGGCAGCATTTCAAAAACATGCCTTCGTCAGTGACAACGTTTAGCCTCATCAATCAAGTGAGGCCAAGTTAGGGCCCCTCTTTGGTGAGGTATTCTCAGAGAGGAAAGAATCTTAACAACATTCCTCCAGGATTGCTGAGCTGTGTTCCAGGAAGCCCTGGTATTTCCCCAAAGTGTCTCGTGGGATCCAGAGGAAGGTGACGGTGAAGGTGGCTCACTGGTGGTCAGGCTCTGGGGCACGGGGACAGCATCAGCACAGCACCTCCCTTTTGTCCGTTTCACAAGGTTCAAAGCCACTGACTTCCCTAACTGCCTCCGTTCACAGATGAAGAGACTGAGGCCCAGCAAGCCTAAGTGATCTTCCCGGTCATTCAGCAGTGTCTCCTGACGCCCAGGCCCGTTCCCTTTCCAAGACAGCACCCTGCCCTAGGTGGAGACGATGGAAAACACATAGAGGGAGGATCCAAGATCCCCTGTTGACTTTTCCAGGGTCCCTTCCAGCCAACTTCTAGTACCGGAGGCGCTTCTAGAGAAGGGCAATCGCCCATTTCTCCCCCAGCTCATTGTTAGGAGAGGTAGTTGGGCGAGGACAGTCATGGGTGGAAGGGAGTCCCTGTCACCGGGGTGTTTGCCTCAGAGACCTTCTCCTCCTCTGCTGGGGAACAGCTGCTCTGTGGAGTGGCCTTTGCCCCACCCGGTGGTCAGTGACCATACCCCTCTCCTTGGCTGACATCTCCCCAGGGGTCCTCAGCGAAGCAGTGCTGATTGCTTCAGGTTCCAATTTCTATCCAAAAAGCACCACCCGCCAGACCTCAGGGCAGCAGCTCTTCCTACTCAGCCACTTACTTTGCCATGACCCCTGTTTTCCAGCCGCTCAACATTGCCTACAGCCACATCTACAGCTCCTACAGGAACTTCGTGGGGCCCCCTCACTTCAAGACCATCTGCAGGCTCCTGGGCTACCAGGGCATCGCCGTGGTCATGGAGGAACTCCTAAAGATCGTCAAGAGCTTGGTAAGGAGGGGCCTTGGAGGTGGCCAGGTGGGCTTCATAGGAACGAGACTTGCTTTCCCTCTTCACCTGGCCTCTTAGACAAGTCCCAGCACTCCAGCTCGGTCTGCAGACATCGCCCTTGCCCCTCGGTTATTCGACTTAGCGCTCTCTTACAGTTCTGTGCACCTTCAACTTGGGATTGTGTTTCCTATGTTCTGATCCTGAACCTACTCTTTATATGGAGTTGCTGAACTCAGTCAACCTGGTATGACCTTTATGGCCTCCTAATGACTAAGGGGCAGCAAAAATAGGAAGGCTCTCAGTGATATTGACATTGGCCTTAATAAGAGATCAAACACAGCATGGATTGTGAGAATGACATAGACCAGGGCAGGGTTTCCTTTTGATCAAACAGTCTCACTGAGTAAGAACCAACTCTACAGCATTCGATAACGATGACAACTACTCATGTTCCCCTTCTGTGCCGCATTGTCTAATCTGAGCACATGTACTGCCATTTTCTCCTGTGGATGTAGCAGACATCATTAATCAACCACCATGCTTTTCCCCTTTGGCTTTCTTGCCAAACCCTTATCAATAATGCACTAGCCTGAAGGGAATTCTATATCTCTTTACCATTCTACTTCAAATATAATTCCTTACCGTGTTAATGAAGCAAAGCTGAAAACATTTCAATCAGATTTTCCAGAAGAGTTGAGATGACAAAGGGAAATAAACTATAACTCAGTCATAAAGAGCAAATGAGATTATTAATCCTAGTTCTTGGGTACTAGCTGCGTGGAAGACAGGGAGTGTTAAAAATGACAAATTTACCCACTATCATGACCCCAATTCTACATTACAAATCCAGCTAGACCAGAGCATGTACACTAGTACAGATAAGAACTCACAACATAGGGAATCCAGGACAGATAAACCCCTCAGGACCAATAATGAGAGTAGTGATACCAGGAGGGTAGGGGGGACGGGGGAGAATGTGTGTGTGTATGTGGGGGGAGAACCAATCACAATGATCGACATATAACCCCCACACCCACACCCCAGGGGGATGGACAACAGAAAAGTGGATGAAAGGAGACAGCGGTCAGTGTAAGACATGAAAATAATGATAATTTATAAATTATCAAGGATTCATGAGGAAGGGAGGGTAGAGGAGGGAGGGAAAAAATGAGCATTTCATACCAAGGGCTCAAGTAGAAAGAAAATGTTGATGGCAACATATGTACAAATGTGCTTGACACGATGGATGGATGGAGGGATGGAGGGATGGATGGATGGATGATGATAAGAGCTGTAAGAGTCTCCAATAAAATGGTTTTTTTATTTATTTATAAAACTAGCTCCAGAGTAAAGCAGGACAATGTGGTGATTGATTAAAGATGCCTGCCTTGGACACAGGCAGGATGGATGTACCACATAGTTTTCACGCGTAGATAAGGCAATCTCTACAGCTCCTTGGCAAGGTTTCATTTTAGCTGGGTCTCTGGATCTCGTCTAAGGATGAACCCCCCCTTGAAGTCTCTTTGTCTGAGTCAGTAATGAGCAGAGCTCCCTCTTCTGCCTTGAAAGACCATTTTCAAGTGGTTCCACTCACCGCGGGAGGGAATCCCTAGGTCTCAGCAGACATCCCCCAGAGCCTAGCATTCGACCCAGAGAGGCATGCGGATGGTGTCTTGATTCACTCTTATCTCTTCTCTTGTCAGCTGCAGGGAACCATTCTCCAGTATGTGAAGACCCTGATAGAAGTGATGCCCAAGATATGCCGCCTACCCCGGCATGAATACGGCTCCCCAGGTTGGTGATGCTGGAGTGGGGGCAGGGGCTGCCCAGTGGAAAGTAACCCAAATCCTGCCCGGGGTGGGATGACTCTCTAGCATGCTTCTCTGACATGCCAGGGAGCATAGTCCTGCTGCCCCGGAACTGTTGGGAAGCTGGGAGAGGCTAGCATATGTGGAAGTCTTTCCACCATAGGTAAGCCTGTGCCCATCAAGGTCACTCCACAGGTTAGCGTGGAGTTGCCCCACAGGATTGCCTATGTAATAATCTCTGCTGCAGTCCGCTGCCACCTCTTTCTTCTATGGAGTGGCTGGAGATTCGAACCACCAACCCTTCAGTTAGCAGCCAAGCACCAAACCACCCTACCAGGCCCAATTCAAAGAATGAGGAAACCACAGTGCCAAGCCCACCGCCACCGAGTCCATTGCTACTCACAGTGACCATGTTAGGGTTTCCAAGATGATCACTCTGTATGGGGGCAGAGCCATCTTTCTCCCACGGGGTGGCTGGTAGCCTTGAATGACCTACTTGCAGGTAGCAACCCCTAACCCACAGCACCAATGGGGCTCCTTCAAATCACCAGCAGCCAGATTAACCTTAAGGGTCTTCATGGGCTCAGTGCCTCCTGGGAGCCATTGGGAGGAGGTGGGTGCTCTGGATAAGCCTTCAAAGGGGGCATATCTGAGGTAAGTCTTTGCCACTCAACTGCGGGTGAAAGTAACTTTTTTCTTCCCTTCGGGTGGATGGGTCCTGAGACTTGGGGAGTCAATAGAAATCATGAATTTAGCAAATGGTGGTTTTTTTCCCCCAAGCCCAAGATGTCAGGTGCTGGGCCAGTGTGGTGCAGAACAAGAAAGGGCTGAAGCCTATAGCCTTGATTCTGAGTCCCAGCTGGCTCACTCACTAGCTGTATCACCACAGGCAAAACACTTACCTTTGCTGAGCCTCGGCTGGAAATAGTGCCTCATTTGGGTATTGTTGGGTGTCGTGCATCAGATTAATGCAGGTAACGTGCTAGGACAAATGTTACAAATGAATAAACAAATGCCCTTTCACATCTTAGGGATTCAGGTGACTTTTTAGAGGGACTGGAGCCCTGGTTGCATAGTGAGTTACTTGTGGGGGCGAACCACAAGGTCAGCAGTTCAAAACCGGCAGCCTCTCCTCGGGAGATAAAATGGGGCTTTCCACTTCCATAAAGAGTTACAGTCTTGGAAGCCCACAGAGAGAGGTGACCCTGTCCATAGTGAGCCCAAGCTCACTCTGGCTGAAGCATAGGAACAATTGGGGATGGTGCTGGACGAGGCAATGTGTTCCATGGGCACTGACTAGGTGGTACCTAACAGCACATCAGCTCACTGTGAGTCCTTACCGACTCCATGGCCGGGAGTTTGGTGGTTTGGGTTTGGGGGAAGATGTAGGGCTGTCCAATTCTTGTGTGGGTTTTGTGCGTGTGGTTTTGTTTTGTGTGTATTTTGTTGTTTTGTTTGCTTTCCTTCAAAAAGCGTTTGATCCAACTTTCTGAGCCTTTCCTGGTCCTGCTTCCTGGAAGGAGCCCTGCCGCAGCCACAGAAAGAGGGCTGCATGCATACGCCAGCCCTGAACTCTCCCAGGCACAGCGGGCTGCTCTCAGTCAGCACTGACCACAGCCAGCAGGGCAGCGTGGGCTTCCTGATGACCGTGCCCCTTCTTCCCCCAGGGATCCTGGAGTTCTTCCACCACCAGCTGAAAGACATCATTGAGTATGCAGAGCTCAAGACGGACGTGTTCCAGAGCCTGAGGGAGGTGGGCAATGCTATCCTGTTCTGTCTTCTCATAGAGCAAGCTCTGGTGAGTCCGAAACCCCAGCCACGTCCTTGAAACCCCTCAGTGCCCTGCCCCGGGGCCCTGCAGCTCAGATTGCTACAGGTCTACCTCAAGAAATATTGCAGGTGCAACCCCCAGACCACACTAAAGAGGAATCACCAGAAAGGGAGTCACGTGACACTTTTGGGTTTCCCACTCATGTGAAAGTTATCTGTGCACCCAGTTGTCATCTGTGAGAAGGGTCCTGGTGCCATACTGGTTGAGTTGGGCTGCCAACCACAAGGCCAGCAGTTCAAAACCACCAGTCACTCCATGGTAGAAAAACAAGGCTCTCTACTCCTGTGAAGCGTTGTAGTCTCAGAAACCCACAGAGGCAGTTCAACCCTGTCCTGTGGGCTCACTAAGAGTCGGAATCGGCTCTGTGGCAGAATGTTGGGTTTTGGGGGTGAGTAATCTGTGAAGTGTGCTGCCTCATTGTGGACAAGTTTGAAATGTGCGAATGACCACGGTGTGCCACAGAGAAGCGAACTGAGCACATGCTGTGGGGAAACGGCTTTGGCAGATGTAAGCCGAGTAAGGCTGTCACAAGCCTTCCATTTGTAAAAACAAATACCCCTCCCTGCCCCCCAGAAAAAAAGTACAATCTGCAAGGCTCCATAAGTGGATCGCGATGAAGTATGGTCTGCCGGGGTTCTCCTGGTGGGGGGGCGTGCACTGTCGTGCCAGGGAGCTCTGACCTCTGGGACATGGGGGGGCAGGCTGGCTTCCAGGCCTGGTTTCCCCTCACTCGCTGCAGGCCCGGGCCCTCGTGGGAGCCTTTGTGTTGTAGGCATTTGCTGCACTAAGAATTATTGCTCAGCCACCACTGGTTAGGCGCTGTCTCATGCTGTATAGCCAGGAGGGGGAGGCTTGCACTGCACACGTGTCTGCATGGACATTGAGTGCTGGGTGGGAGACATATGAGTCCCCACGGGGACATGAAACAGCAAAACCAGCGTGATCTTGGGGATGAGAGTCGAGGGGACCGGGAGGGCGAGCAGGAATTAGCCTGGGGAAGACTGTCCTGGGCTGAGTGAAGACGGGTCTTCACTTTCAGTGGTGGGACATCATGAAGGGCCTACAGGAGCAGGTAAAGTGCATACAGTAAGAGCTCAGCAGAGCGCAGCAGGCATCACAAGGAACAGAAGCATGCCTCCCTGTGACTCCCTGTCAGGACCACGCAGAACCAGTCCCAGGTCTTGCCCACAGGACCCTCCCTCCCACCCACCGGCCCTCAGGCGCCCCCATTGGCCTCAGCTCTTCTCCATATGTGGTGCCCCAGGTGTGCCCAGAGCTGCAGGTGTGAGGCTACTGCCACAGCCCTGAGCAGGGGCAGGAAATGGAGGAACCTTGTCCTTGGGTGCAGTGAGGCTCTCGTGGCATGATTAACGCATCCATACATCTATCTCGAAAAAGGGTGTCCAAAAAGAGCCCTCTCATGCTTGGACATGATGCTGGTGGGTGGAAAGAAATGGCAGGGAAGCCGGGAGACGGATGACCACTTTCATCCAGCGATGGACGCCAGCAAAGACGTAAACCACCCGAGCGAGGTTTCCAGATTCTCATCAGTAAGAACAGAGGCAGAGTGGATAAAGGACAGCAGCGGCAGAAAGGTTGGCGGGTGCTGTGTATTTAGGGAGGGCGGAGCCTGGCTTCGTGTCTTCCAGGCACAGAAAGGACTCTGGGGCGAGCTGGGGTGGAGCAGAAAGGAGCTGAGTGGACAGAATTGGGTCATCTGGCTTTGTGGGCCCGCTGGTGGGAAGCAGTTGGAGGTGGGAAGAGAAGAACCTTGTTCATGGCAGAATAGAACTGTCCTCCAGCAGGGTTTCGATGGCTGGTGTGGGGGTGGGGGTGGGAGGTGTAGATCCCACCCTGCCTTCCAACGAGCCTCTAGGTATGCTTGAGTCGTTGTTGAGCCCTGAAGCGTGAGCACCCCATGAGGAAGGCCACGGGCAGCAGTGGGCTGGGGACTGCTTCCTCGGTTGAAAGGCAAGGGGAGGCGACGGCTGAAAGTCAGCCAGGCGCCTTGGTGATAAGCTTGGAGGCACTGGCCCCCAGGCCGTGGAGAAGAGGGTAAGCGGGCATGAGGAAGAAGGTAGAACCAAAGTCCAGGGCAATGGAAAGGGAGCCGCAATAGAAAGAGCTTCCGAGTAAAAGCCAGACAGCGGCCCCTCCATATGTCAGTGCTCCCTCCTGAAAATGTGGGTCTTCTGACAGTTGCTCTCAGACTGGTCCATCTCCAGAGTCCCTGCAACAGACACTGTGGCCTTCATCTGCAAAGAGCAATTGCTTCTCATTCCCCCATTCAAATGGACTCTCAGGACAGCTCATGGTTCCTCTTTATTATACCAGGTTTCTAACATGGTTCAGTGGGCCTGGGTTGCCATGGAAACGGCCTTCAGAAGCCAGGGTATAAGTAGGACAAACTGCTCAAGGCCTCCGTTCTTAAGTGTTCCCCATGAGCCCCTCCTTTCTGAAAACATCAATTATGCCTACCCTGCAAAGATCCCCGGTGTCCTCGGGGTTGATGCTTGGGCATTGCAGACCCCCCAGCCATCTGCCCTTGGAAAGAGCGACAGCCCCAGAAACCCTAGGGAGCAGCTCCGCCCTGCCCTGCCCGGCAGCCGTGAGTCTGAATCACCACGGTGGCCGTGGGTTGAGTCTGGCTGGGGTAAATACGCCAGGAGACAGGCTTTATGGAGACTCAAGGGAAGGAACAATTTTTCTCAGTCCCTCTGTGTTGTGGGGGGAATGGTCACTTGCATATATCAGTGGGTACAAGAGGACACTTGAGATCAAAGACCATCAGGATTGAAGAAGGTCAATGACATAAATATATATATAAATTCTCTAGCCCCCTGTGTTCATGAGTGAGGGATCAGAGCACCAGAGGGGAGCCACTCATCTGAGGTCACACAGCAAACCCGCAGCAGAGGCCTAAGAACAGGAACATAGGTTTCCAGCCCAGATCCCGCTGCTGGGGGTGAAGAGTCAGGGCTCCACAAACCTGGGCGTTCCAGGTTTGCTGCCTCGACCATTGGGGAAACCCCCAAGGCTGAGACTCCCCTCCCTGGGAGTGAAGTAAGGCATGAGCTTTCTGGAGCTGATGAGTCCAGGGAGCTGGAATTAAGTAAGTAAACAGTTCCTTCAAATATTGAATGGTAATTGTTGTCATTCAAGAGGAGTACTAATTGCCAACAAGAGAGTAGAGGAAAGGAAGATGCTTTAACCCTCCATCTCTGTCCATAGAGGAGCTGCCCTATCAACTCTGGACATCCATTGTTCAGAAGACTCTGAAGCAGTTACAAAGCGTAAGATCATAAAGGAGCTCTGTATATATCGGCATGGAGAGCAAGCAAAGGACAGGAAACAGCAGGGACAAAAAGAGCAGGTGCCAGGACAATATATGTATCTCTATACCTTATTTGTGAAATAAAAATAAGTCCCACAAAATAGCATTGCTTTGAGAAAACTATATAGGCAAAGCACAAAGAGCTAAAATAATACCCTCTAGGAAGCAGGCAGGGAACCAGGGTGAGAGGTCACCGGGGGCCCACCCTTATCTGTAATTTCTGCACTTTTAAAACACAAGGACAGGCTATTTATATAGCATGATCAAACTAACACTTACTTTGGAAAAACAAGTAATGTGGGTTCGTTTTAGAAACCTGAAAATGGCAAGGGTGTGTCGGGTCCTCTGCTTTCTCCGAATGAGCTTGCAGAGGCCTTTCTGGTGTAAGAAGTATGCCCCACATACTTCTCTTCTTCTGTCTCAGAGCTGTGTTTTATTAACAGAAATTATTACATAGCATAGCTTTCTAGGTTCGAATATAAACTGGAAAGGCTGATCACTTGACTTGATCAATGATCTTCATGAAGTTAAAAAAAAAATCAAACACAAAAACCTCACTACCTCAATACTGACACTCTAGTCACAGGGGGCCTCCAACTACGGCCGGCCGATGTCAATTCTGCATCATAGAAACCCTATAGGACAGAGCAAAACAGCCCGGGTGGGTTTCCGAGGCCGTGAATCCTTACGGGAGCCGCAACCCTGTCTTTCTCCCAAGGAGCAGCTGCCAGTTGAAAACTGCTGACCTGCTGTTGGAGGTCCAGCACATTACTCAGTGAACCAGTGCCCATAAGTCTGGTGCTAGTAAATGTTTCTCAAAAGTTAGGGGACAGCATAAGTGGTGGGTTGTTGTGGATGGGCTTTGTTCTGGTTTTGGTGTTTATAATTAAGGTATAACATTTTTTTTTAAAAAAGGTACCAGTAAGTCGGTTCTCATTCATGACGACCCCATGTATGTCAGAGGAGAGCTGTGCTCCACAGAGTTTTCAATCCCGGATTATTTGGAAGTAGATCACCAGGCCATTCTTCTGTGATCCTTCCAAGAAGTCTTCATACTACCAACCTTTCAGTTAGTTGAGCACTTCATGGTCTGTGCCACCTAGGGACATGGTGTCAATACTGACACTCTAGTCACAGGGGGCCTCCAACTACGGCCGGCCGAGGACATTTATCCAGCCCACCTGGTGTTTTTGCCCCATTGTTTTTTACTTCAAAATAAGATATGTGCAGTGTGCATAGGAATTTGTTCATAGTTTTTTTTAACTACAGTCCAGCCCTCCAACAGGTCTAAGGGACAGTGAACTTGCCCCCTGTTGAAAAAGTTTGAGGACCCCTGGTCTAGTGCATAAATCCTAAGCATACCGTTTTACGTAAAGCATACCTTGAGCACCATAGAATGTTCCCATGTGCTCCCTTCCGGTCTGTGCCCACAAGTTGGCATGATTCTGTCTTCCACCCCCAGAGATGCGTGCTGCATGGTTTCCTTCTCCAGTCTGGCTTCTGTCATTCAGCATTATGGCTGTAAGCAGCATTAATGGTGTGGAATATAGTGCAGCCCATTCTCTGTCATTACTGCATAATTTCTCACTATATGACTAAACCAACTGAGTTGTCCATTTGACTATAGCTAGAC